AGGCCTCACCTGGTCTATGTAAGACATGCCCCAACCAAATCATCCTTTTCTTAATTTTTACTCACCCTGTTGGCTTAAATTCTCGTTTCTGATCTTATTCGACTACATATTCATCTTGACTTCCTTGTTTTCGTAACATTTATCTTGATTTCCTTGTACATTGTTTCTAGTTCAATATATTTTCTTGAGGACAAATGGTGAACACAGTTCTGTTTCTTGACATTGTCACGTACATGAAGTGGATTTATTTCAGAAATAAGAAAGAAATGATAAATTACTTTCCTCCATGATACAGATTGTCCAAATTCTCTACAATAGTTGAAAAGTTTACTGATGTTAATAAATGCTAGAATTATCATTTTTTTCTGTTATTTTGAAACTATTTATACCAGTTTGAAATATGTATCTACAGTTTTTTTATGCAAGTACTAATATTTTACTCAAAAATGAGTATTTCAATGTATAGTTGACTTGTGTGCATGTGTGTTACATCTATGTGTGTGTACGTGTATGTATAATTATGTACATCTGAAACACTTTCTGCATTTTGGCCTTAACAATCGTGTTTGATAACTCTGCAATTTCATGGGTTCTTTCCCACTTTGCAATTCCAATTTGCAGTTATAAATTATTTATAACTCACAAAGTCTGTAATATAATTCTATCACGATTCCAACTTCATTTATATTGGGTCTCAAAAGAGTTTTGGTATCAACTTGCAGGTTTGCCACCCACATTCGTGAAGTTTGTGTACTCACTGCACCGTTCTTTGCATCGAACACCACTCTTGTTGCTTACTTTTTTGGGAAAGAGTTATGGGACTCGGGGGCAGGACTTGTAGCAGCTGTGTTAATTGCTATTTGCCCTGGTTACATCTCAAGGTCGGTTGCAGGTTCATATGATAATGAGGGGGTTGCTATATTTGCGCTGTTGCTCACTTTCTATTTATTTGTCAAGGCTGTGAATACTGGTTCACTTGCTTGGGCTGTGGCCTCTGCTTTCGGGTACTTCTACATGGTTTCAGCATGGGGTGGTTATGTTTTCATCATTAATTTGATCCCACTATATGTAATGGTTCTGTTGATTACTGGGAGATACTCGATGAGATTGTACGTAGCTTATAACTGCACTTATATCTTGGGGATGTTGCTCGC